TGTATTCAAGCCGAGCTTGAGCCAAGGCCTGTTTGATTCGGCCTGAAGCTTGAGATTAAAAGTCAAATATGACTTTTTTCAAACCTTCTTCACCAAAAGAAAAAAATTAAGAGAATTTTCTTCATCTCTCTCTATCCTACGAAGAGAAAAAGAGTTAGTGCCTTGCTTCTAACTATTAAACTAAGCAGTTCTAATTTTTTTTTATTACAGGACAATTCAATGTTTTATTTATTTATTTTTTGTATAGAAAAATCACCCCTTTGATCTGTTGTGTGAACGCCAAATAAGAACTACAGTGCATGCTTGTGTTTGAAAGAATGCGTGTCTCTAAGCTCTCACTCTAATCTTTTAGAAATTAAAAGTGAAGGCCGATATCATTTCCAAAAAAAGGGTCAAATCTTATATTATAACCAACAATGGGAGTCCACTTGAATCTCTTGGACTGATCTGAAATCAATATAGAAATTTAAAACATGATAAGTAGCACAAATGAAGGCGAGAAAAGATTACAGTTGATCACCGTAATCTATGTTCTTTTACTTTACCTCCAAATCATGATATCCATTCTAAGGAATTCAACAATAAGAATATAGAGTGCTCACCATCACAGTTTCCCAAGGAAGAGGTTAAGGAGCCCGAGGACAAGGCCATTGACATATCTGGTCAAAGGCGTAAGTGCTTCAATCTCTGAGGATGATGCCGGCGAGCGTTTAGAGAGATGAGTTGCAGGGTTATTTTGGTGAGGAAGAAGGTTTAAGGAAATTAGGGCTTTTTATCTTCTTTTAGGTGTTTCCCTAGAAATTCTTTACAATTGGTGTATACAAGTAAATGTTGGGGTGCACATACCACCATCCTTATTTTATCTAATTACTAGATAGATAATTAGAAATCTAAACCTTACTCGAGAGGGTATAGGTAAAGGATAATTTTACTCTACCCTATAGAGGAAGGACAAGGAAAAAAAAAATATCATAAATATGTAAGGGAAATGTCTTATCCTGCCCTTACCTTACCTGTTGACAGCCCTAGTTATGAAATCTCCAATGGATTGAATTCCCAGAACTTTGATCATTGAAAATATTATATGTTCTTAGTGACTGTGGAAGGAAATAGAAGATGTGGTATCATAGCTACTTATAGAAACTAGCTAATAAGGTTTCTAATTACTCTAATAAAGTATTAAAAAAAATGGTGGTCCTAGGCTCGTCACTCTCAAAGAAAACTCTGGCCCCAACAAGGAAAGAGTGAAAAAGAGGCTATGCAAGCATTTTCTCTTTGCAGGTATACGATTTTTTTAGGGTGGTGTTACGTGCACACCAATAATTGATGACTACACCCCATTTTTCAAAATTGATGACTGCACACCATTAGTTTATTAAAATTTTAAATGCACACCAAAATCAAAAAAATACTTATAAAATTTATAGTTACACACCAAACTTCAAATTTATTAATTATAAGAATAGAGGATAATGTTAGCTTCACTTTAATTTGAGAGTCACTTTACCCAAGAATAAATAATGCAATCACCACTTGTTTAATTAAGGAGTTAGAATTTCTCATTTACTGTTTATGAATAATAATCTATGCAAGTACATTATGGTGGTGGTGTACCAAATTTTCTATAGCATTGATCTATTGTTATCTCTTATTTTTATCAATTTATCTAATTTAAATAGCGGAAACTTCAAATAATTAAAAATTGTCAAACAAATAACTAAATTTTCAATAGCTATCGATTAAACAAATAAAATCAATGACATATGAAAAATTATATAATTAATTTTTAATAAAATATTAAATAAAAAAATTGTCAAACTAAAAATTGAGAACATGAGAAAATTTTAGTTAATGGAAAAACAATAATTAATTGAGACCATAGAGAGGTGATGACGAATAGAGAAGAAGTCAGTTTGAAAAGTAAAAGAATTAGGAATGGGGTGCATATATAAAAATATAGAGAACTTCAAAATATAAGAAAATTAATAAGTGGGGTGTAGTCATCAAATATTGGTGTGCACATAACACCACCCTTTTTTTATTTACTAAGAGAAGTGATGAGAAACGGTTTTTAACTGGTATACCAAGACATGCTAACATGACCCTCTTGCACTCTGCTAATGTGAGCATGCCTATATTAGAAGAGAATAAAGAGGATTCAAAAGATACTATTCCTTAGAGATAGACTTTCCTCTTTGTTACATTCTCATATGGAAAGTGTATATGTACACTCTTTCTTTATTTTATTATTTCCTTTATTCATTGTAAGAGATTGTAATCAATATATACTAAAAATCAACCAAGACTCACTCACGTTTTTGAGTAGAGTCTCTCCACTTTGTCTTCTTCACTAGTTCTTGAGTTCTTTATGGTATCAGAGCAATACCACACAAATAAGTGGTAGTGTGGAACGGAATCAAGTGGTGGTCTTCATCAATGGCGTCAAGTGGTGGTTTGACACTTCAAACCTTGGATCAAATCATGTCAATGGTATCCGTGAAATTGACGTTTCAGAATTATTACTCTGGAAGGAACAATACTCCCATTGATAGAGAATACTGATCTTGTTGATCACATCTTGGGAAAGAGTGATGAAGTCAAGCCAATGGTTGCTTCGTCTGATGGGGGAGAGGAAGCTAACCCTGCATTCCTCGCTTGGAAGCGAGATGACAGGTTTCTGAAGAGCCTGATAACGGGAACACTAGCTGAAGATGTGTTGACCCTTGTTGTTGGTCTGTCTATTGCGAGAGAGACTTGGACATGCCTCGAGAAGGCATTTGCGGATTCCTCGAAGGATAGAGAATGACAACTTATCCGTGATCTTCAGAGTATGAAGAAAGGTAACAGTTCCATAACTGAGTACCTTAGAAAATTTAAAATATTTGTGATGAACTTGCTACCATCCAAAAACCTGTAGATGAAGAAAATAAGGTTTATTGGGCCTGTGATGGGCTGGGAAAGAAGTACAATGTGTTCACTACCTTTGTTCTTGCCAGGCCTCCTCTTCCACCCTGATCTCAATTTGTCTCCTCTCTTACAAGCTATGAGAATAGAAATTATTCTCAAAACCTTGGGGGAGAGGTGGTGTCTGACTCACATGCATTTATCAGTCACAAACAGGGTAGAGGTAATTGTTCCAACAATGGAAAAAATTGGAACAACAACCTGGGACAAGGTCAATGGCATCAAGGTAGAGGAAATCAATAGTTCAACTCCCAGGGTCGTGGTTACACTCAGGCTGGTCAGAATCGTGGTAAATTTGTGCCACAAAATAATGAAGGAGAAAAGCAAAAACAACAACACGACTTTCCTTGTCAGATTTGTGAAAAAATTGGCCACTCTCCTTTACGATGCTACAACCGATTTAATGATGCATATCAGCCAGATGGCATTCCCCAAGCCTTGGCGGCAATGTCAGTTACTTATCCTCAAGACTCTGAGTGGATACCTTATACAGGTGCAAATTCCCACATGACTCATGATCCATGTATTTTTACCTCACTCAGACCTTATAAAGGTGATGATAAAATTGTTGTTGGAAATGGCCAGACTTTAGAAATTTCTCATATTGGGACTGCTACTATTCTTGTTGGTTCACAAAAAATTATTACTCTTGACAATGTTTTACTTGTTCTTAAGATTGCTGGAATTTATTATCTGTGAGCCAAATGGTTGATGAAAAATCCTGCATTTTTGAATTTAAAGAACTCAAGAACTAGTGAAGAAGACAAAGTGGAGGGATTCTACTCAATAACGTGAGTGAGTCTTGGTTGATTTCTAGTATATATTGATTACAATCTCTTACAATGAGTAAAGGAGGTAATAAAACAAAGAAAGAGTGTACATATACACTTTCCATATGAGAATGTAACAAAGAGGAAAGTCTATCTCTAAGGAATAGTATCTTTTGGACATAGTTCAAAAACCCGAAAACTCGGCTCGACTCGAAAGTTAGCTAGGTCGAGTAACTTGGAAAACTCGAAAAAAAAAATCGACTCGGTCCAACTCGGAATATATATGCAATAACTTAAAAATTGTGGGTTAAATGAACTCAAAGTACGCTGGTTTTATAGCTTCAAACATCAAAATTAGGTTTTAACAAAACCCATAGTAAGTTGTCTTTGTAGACCCTAAAAAATATGATGCAAAAATAGTGTGACATTTTAGTTTAGGTTTAAAAAAATGATAAAAATATCCCTCTATGACTCGACCTAGTATGGAGAGTCGAAAAACTCGGCTAGACTCGATCGAGTCACCTGAGTAACTCGGTAAATAATGTCTCCTTTGAGTTTTGAGGCAACCGACTCGAGTAACTCGGCCGAGTTACTCGGGTGACTCACCGAGTTTTCGAACTATGCTTTTGGATCCTCTTTATTTTCTTCTAATATAGGCATGCCCACATTAGCAGAGTGCAAGAGGGTCATGTTAGCATGTCTTGGTATACCTGTTAAAAACCGTTTCTCATCAAGAAGAAACTTGATAAAGGTGGATCGGTACTTTCAGTTCATCATGTCTAAATCTGCAGGTTAGCATGAAAATTTTTATATAGGTTAATGATTTAGATCCTATGAATTTTATGCTTTAAGAGTGAGTTAAGATCCTTGTAGGAATTATGATTTTTTTTTAAGAAAGCCACCCAATGGGGGGGGGGGGTTGGCAGACCCCTATCAGCTTTTTTTTTGAACCTCTTGGTGGAGTCCCCTGGAGGACAGAATAGCACTACTTAGTGACTAGGAGCGGAGAGCCTCTTTCTTGTTCTTTGTGGCGTCTATAGTGAAGAATACATGACCGAATGAGGGCCGGCCAGGGACTGGACGGCTCTCGGTTCTTGAGCAAGCAAACTCCGGTTGCTCGAAAGAACTTGCCCTTATTGGCAGGGCCCTGTATAGTAAAAGAGTGCGCAACAAACTACTAAAAGCTAGGGCTTTTTTCCTGTATAGCAAAGGTGGTAAGGTAGGGCGCTATTCGATTCGATGAAGAAAAGAAACTTTAGGAAAGTGGTTCAGGTAGCTCAGCTAGTTAGAGTAATTAAAGGACTGAAAAATCCTTGTGTCAGTGGTTCAAATCCACTTCTAAGCCTGCGAAGGGTCCAAAGGACACGTAGCCGGGAGCGAGCCTTATTTTGAAATTCAAATGAAAAAGGAAGCCAAAAAATGTGAGCGCCTAGCGCGATACCGTTTTTTGCCCTAAAATAAGAAAGGACCCTATCTTATAGGAGGCAGATTTTGAAAAGTGGTTGATTACTTGGATTGGTTCTTGTGTCCCTGTGCCCAAAAAGGATGGGTGAGTTCGGTTCGAGTGTTCATCGAGCGGGAGCTCTTTTTAATTAGAACTCCCTACTAGTTCATTAATTAGATAAATGCAAAGTACAAGGGGGGACATAAAGGCTAAATCCCATAAAAGTCACCTAAGATCAAAATCTAATATTAAAAAGAGTTCGGATGGGCAACAGCGCTTGCTGTTGCGCTGTTGCCCATATGTGTCTTGCAAAATGGCCCCCATATCCATCATTTGGTGATCCCCATGTGAACAGTAAAGTGGCCCCCATTTTATAAGACACATATGGGCAACAGCGCAACAGCAAGCGTTGTTGCCCATCCGAACTCTATTAAAAAATCCTAGCTTATCATTTCGTAAGAAACCTTTAAGTATAAATGGCAAATCATCAGAATCCCTAAAAACATGACTACTAGAATTATTGCAAGCCTCTTTCGACAAGAAATTGTCCACGTTGATTATTTTCTCAGAAAACGTGATTAAAAACCATATTGCATTTGCTTTCAAATGAATAATACCCTTCCTCCAATACTAGACTCTCAGAAAACTCTGTTAATCACATCAATCATGACTTTTAAATCACTCACAATTAAGTTATTCCAAAGCACCAAGTTATCTCAAAACTTGCAACCATCATATATACCTCTGATTTCGGCCATATTGTTAGAACCAACTCCATAGAAGGATTGGAAAGCCAGAATCATAGATCCATTAGCATCTCGAATAATACCTCCACCCCCACTAGTCTATGGGTTATCTCTAGATGCACCATCTGCATGCATTAAATTTAAGCCATCTTGAAGAAGGGAAAAACTATTTAGAAATAATCGTCTCTTGATCTTTGGACCGAATGAAGCAATATTAAAAACTTGACTCAGATCCTTTTCTCTTCTAGATGGCCAAATCTTAAAATTCCATTAGTTAGCTGCATTTTTAATCCAATCAACTATTCTATTGAAGATAACCCAAACAAGTTTGCGATGGTTACCAAACCTAGACTAATTCATGTACAACCATATCTCCCAGCATATTATACTAGGTAAAACCATATGAAGAAGGCCCGAAATTGAACTCATCTTCCTACTATAAAAAAAATGCATCATTCGAATTTGAAAACCTAGACTAATTCATGTACAACCATATCTCCCAGTATATTATACTAGGTAAAACCGTATGAAGAAGGCCTGAAATTGAACTCATCTTCCTACTTAAAAAAAAATGCATCATTCGAGTTTGGATAGAGTCGACATCATAAATTAGAACATGAAGCATCGAATTCACCATAGTCAAAAGACACATTTTCCCAAATCACTTTGACAAAACAGATGAGATAAAGATTCCGTAGAGGGATTTCTTCAACATTCACATCTCCTGGGCAATATTTTTCTTTTTAACATTTTCATTAACAGACATCATATTAAAGAAGATTTTCAAAGAAAAATAGAAATTTTCAAAGGAACCGGTTTATCCCAAACCGAGGCCGCCCACAAAACTTTATGATGATTATCCTATAAAATATTCCAACACGTACTGATGGTGAAATTTCTAGAACTTTCTAGAGTCCAAGCAACACTATCATTGAGGATGATAACGTGACTTTTCTATTAATAATGTCCTCGTAAACCTTCTAATTTAACCAATCTGAGAAGTTGCCCAAATTTCACTCACCATTGACAAAAATATCACTGATGGACGGGAAATACTCTTGACATGCCAACGTCGAATCAATCAAAGGTTTATTAGTACACCTAAAAGGTCCATATTTTTCAATTGGCAAATTCCATAATCAGAACTTGGTCAAAGTTAGTGTCTTGAGTCTATCCATCCCTAAGTATCAAGATGGTGAAGATGAAGCTTTGAAGATTCAACTGAAGCACATTCCGCCAAAGCTCAACTTTCACGCTTTAGGATGGTAAGTGACTTAGAAGACCTATCCTATCCCTTAGGTTAATTGACTTTAAAATATAGTTATACCTTAGGTGATCAAGGTTTGACCCTCACATCTGAAAATTTAGGTAGAATGTCCAAAATAGAGTTTGCTAGGCAAACTCGCTTGAGCGAAAATGTGTCTCTCTCGAGCGAAGAGCTCTTCGGAATAAACTTGAGCAATTTTCTATAATTCTAGTAGCAAACTCGCTCATGTGAGAGTTGGCTTTGCTCGAGCGAATTACTCTCGAGTTAATGATTGCATACTGACTGAGAATCCAGTAGCTTCCTCGCTCCAGCGAGAGGAAAGTTAGCTCGAGTGAGATGTTGGTTATTTACAACAAAACTACAATTGGAAGGTTCCATATCGGTCACTTAATAGGGTTCGTTTGACCATATCCCAAGCTGCCTCGAGCGAGATTTGCACAAATCTGTTTTAGCAACAAAACACTTCCAATTTTAAATTGTGTGAGGGTTTCTTATAAAATCTAAAGGTCCTAATAAAAATTAAGGGCTTTGAGCTTATAGAATATATTTTAGAGAGGTGCTCTTGGATTTCCCACTTTCTTGGTTGAATATCTAATTGAGCTTAACCTACCCTTCTTCCTAGAGCATGCACGCTTGATCATATCATTGTTAGATTTTATTGGGATCTAGCCAATCAATATTCAAGAATCACATACCTGTGTCGGCCATTGAAAGTAGAGAGTAAAACCTTTGATTGTCGATGACGATGAAGCACACGGTCTTCAGATTCCATGACTCCTTAGCTCTCGATGGGGAAGATGCTTTTCTTTCTGCAGGCTTTCTTAGGAGTTGGATCTGGGACCGATAGCCTATATGAATTATTTATACTATAGGGTTTAGGTCATTAGAGTCCTAACCCATCAAGGAGACTATAGACCATCCTTATAACCCGATATACTTAATTAATGCATAAAACACCACTGTTTGGCTACAACTGAAACTTTAACTAGAGTAGACTTTATCCGGGTTTGGACCATGAACATTACAAGACCATAAACCTTATAGAAAATCTTACATTCTCCCACTTGGTCTGTAATGATCATCAAAAGAGAAAACCTTTTACTTATGCAGAAAATTCTTTTAAAATGACTCTCCCGGATAAACGACTTAATTTTGAAAACAACAGACGTGTGGCCACATTGAAAATATACTCCAGATAGTTAAGCCAATATACAAAAATGTGGTGAACAAAACCTAGACAAATGAAAACACTAATACCGGATCACGGAGGCCATCATATCAACACTACGACATGACACCATTCCATGGTCACTATACTAGTACCCTCATTCTCCATGGTTTCAAGCATTATAACCTTATGATGTGCTGACCTCACACATCCCAAAATTCGATCCTCAAAATTTGCCTTGGTCACTTAATCTGCAAATTTAAAACACCATTTAACACAAAATGGAAATGCAGAGTGATGCATCGCTATATTGTTTTGGTTAGAACAAATTAATAGGAAAATCTCAATAACTGTAGTAGAAAACTTTTTATCTGTAACTGAAATGCTAGCAACATACTCCCACTAACCAAATGAATCCAAGCTGTCTTTTAGTTTCATTTTAGACAAGCTCCAAAAATGCCTTATGATTCAACTTTATGGTTAATGGTTCAGACACCTTATGTTCTCTAACATTCTCTCTCACAACAAAACACCTTACGCCCATGTGTTTGAACTAACTTTAAGTCTTATTGTTTTGAGAGAAGTAAACTGATGCGGAATTATCACATAATTATATCCAACGGCTTCGTAATAAAACTGAAGACCAAGAGCCCTAAGATAAAACTCCGCAATCACATAACTTGTTCAAAAACCTTATAACAAGTCATGTATCCTGCCTGCCTAGTCGATGATTCCATAATGAAAAGCATTATACTTTTCACTAGATAGCATCACAGCTAATAGGAATAAAACTTAATGTCGACTACTTGATGTTCAGACGTCCAACACAATCTGAACCTGAATACCCGATAACCTGATGGGTATCAATACCATTATGTGAGCCAGTATACTTTAACCTTCTACAATTACTCTATAACTATCTTAATGGTCTAACATTCAAATATATCACAACTAAAATGAGAACTTTATTTAACTGCATGAGATATGTTCGAACGAGTGAGGACCTGTTTATACATAAAACTCTTCAATCGAAGTGCAATAAGCAATAATGTAACTTTATAGCACAAATTTTAGCATAAGTCTTAGGGCACTTTAACCTATAATTCACAATATAGATTTCTCTTTAGGAGCTTAATATGAAATATCAATCATCCTTAGAACTTTCTCATAATTCTATAATATATCATTAGAATATACTTTCTCTCACTGACCTTAATGTTGATGTACTCAACTATAATGTTCACCCTAAAAATCGAAAGAAGTATTCATTTGATTGTCTACTCAAAACCTTATGCAATCTTCCTAAGCTTACAAACTTAATACTCATTATCTTCTTTCTAAGAATCTTTTATCATTTTATATACACCTCCTTATGAAGAACGTTGAGTAGGAATATTCTTCCAATGTTTATTAGATATAACTCTATTAAGTTTAAAATATTACTTTTCTTCATGGATTTTATGGTTAATGGTTCAGACACCTTATGTTCTCTAACATTCTCTCTCACAACAAAACACCTTACGCCCATGTGTTTGAACTAACTTTAAGTCTTATTTTTTTGAGAGAAGTAAACTGATGCGGAATTATCACATAATTATATCCAACGGCTTCGTAATAAAACTGAAGACCAAGAGCCCTAAGATAAAACTCCGCAATCACATAACTTGTTCAAAAACCTTATAACAAGTCATGTATCCTGCCTGCCTAGTCGACGATTCCA